TTAGGCAATGTTGCTCCCTTAAAATCAAAACAGTGAGGAAAGGAGTATCAGGGGAAGGCAACAGGGGCTTATTTCTTATAAAGAGAGTCACTTATCTTAACAGGCCAAGCTGGATTTAAAGAGAGGAACAGATGCTTAAGTCCTAGATTGGGCTTTCGGTGGGGACAGAAGTTACAGGGCCAGGACAAAAAACGTCCTCACACAAACACCTCCAAGAAGCCATTTAAAAATCACAGAAAAGGGTCACCTGGGTGGCTCAGTGGGTTAAGCCTCTGCCTTCAGTTCAGGTCATGATCTCAGGGTCCTGGGATCGAGCCCCGCATCGGGCTCTCTGCTCAGCGGGAAGCCTGTTTCCGCCCCCCGCTCTGCCTCTCTGCCTACTTGTGATCTCTGCCAAATAAATAAATAAATAAAATCTTAAAAAAAAAAAATCACAGAAAAAACTAACACTTACTTTGGTCACCAAGTCATTTAACCACCCTGCCTGGAAAGCAGGTCTTCCTTTGGAGTCTTCCTCTGGGGTCTCTTGGGGAAGGGCAGTGCTCTGAGGAACAGCTGGGGAAGGGAGACCATCATGGAGATTAGTCCTGTTTGAACAGTCTAGGAAACTTAACCAAATAGATGCCTACACTTCCCTAAAGTAAGAAATGAGAAAGAAACAAAAAACAGCACCCCTACTTTAAAGAATCAGAGGGAAGGACCCGTGAGACTTGTCCTAAGACATCAATGCAGGTTTCAAAAACAAGTCTGTTCTGGGCCTGCTAAGGATATGCACCAAATTCCCAATTTTCTACTACATCTTCATGCGATGTAAATCGTGTGTGCTGTCTCTTAATAAGGAAATATGCTCTGGACCCTCTCCTACTTTTTTGGAAGCATGTTATTGTAAAATCCAATTCACAAAGCAAATGGCTGACAGAATGGTTCAAACCTCTGCAGGTAAAATTCCCGACGGCTCACGCTGGGGTAACTGAGTTGCGTTTCGTCATTGTTTTAGGACACTAGGTAACGTGTGTTTGGTCCCAAGCAGTCTGGAAGGGGCACACCATGCAGGATGGGGTTCCATGTTAAAGCCTGTTCTCGACTCACTGCCCTTTGCTCTCCCTAGTTTCTTTAAAGAGCTGCTCTGTGATATGCTGGTTGACTTCTCTAACCCTAACCACCCAGGATTCCTCCCCTTTCTGCCTTGTGATTCTCACCTTCCTCTTCTAGAATCTGAGTCAAATCCTCTACCAGCGTCACCACTTCCTCACTGCTCTCTGGGTATTGGGACTTCACCCAAGTCCTAACCTCCCCAGGCAGGATGGTCAGGAACTGCTCCAGCACCAGCAGCTCCAAAATTTGTTCCTTTGAGTGAATCTCAGGTCTCAGCCATTTAAGGCAGAGCTCTCGGAGCTGATTCAATGCCTTTCGAGGACCAGCTAGGTCTGGATATGGAAAATTCCTAAAATTCTGTCGACAGGTCTCAGTGTCACGCAAGATTCTTGAAGCAAGGGTTTCCTTCGCAATGTTGTGGGGTCCACTCTGAGCCTTGTCTGGCTTCCACATGAGAAGGACTTGGGCGCGTGAAGAACTGGTCATCCTCTTGCATGAGGCCAACATCGCTATAGGTGGGAGAGTCAATCTGGCAATATTCTTTATATCTCCAGTAGTGAGCCAAATGCTTGAAGTCTCATGCTAGAACCACAAAGACATTATATCAAGGGCTGCTGCAGCCAAGGGCAGAACAGGGTCAAGGTAGAGTTAGCAGCCTTAGTTACAAATTCTGAGCCCAGAACTTGCAGGGATGGTTAAGAGACCCTGAAACACAAGAACAGACCACAAAGTCAAGAATTCTGGTGCTCTCTGCTATCCATATCCACGAGCAGAAACAGCCTGCTCAAGTGTTCACAGGTAAACACACATAGACTTTACCTGGGTCTTCCTTCCCTACCTCCTCAGACTTGTGATATAAATGCAATCTGCTGGGGACAGGGGTCAGGACAGCTATCAAAAAGGGTCACAGAAACAAAGCCCCGAAGCATGAGCAAAACAACAGATCAAACTTTTAACTTGTTGAAACAGAAATTAAACTTTTCCGGGGGTCGTGGGGCGGGGGGGAGCTTCAGTATTTTTGCGATGTCACAGAAGCTGTAAAGGACCGCACTGGCTCTCAACAACATGGCATACCTGTGGGTACTTGGAACAACCTGGGAGGAGAATCCTTCCCAGGTTCCCAAGGAAACTGTCAAGGAAAAAAGGGCGGACTTGTACTTGCTTTAGATGTTAATGCCAGCACATTCTAGCTTCTCACTATCAGAGGGCTGGAGAAACAAGCCGGTTGGACTGGGAAAAAGTAGGAGGCTGATGTGCCTTGAAGCCCTTTGAAACGCTTCTACAGGAGACAATTCCTCACGAGTAAATTTGAAACCAGGATTCCCGAAGAAAACCTCAGAACAGGCCGGCGACCTGACACCACCTGTCCTCGGGCTCCAGCTCTGAGCCCTCCTCAGGCTCAGTCGAGTAACCGAAGCGAACTGTTTACAGGCTCTGCAGAGGATATGCGCCAGCCCCGCCCGCCGCCTCCCCTGCCCGGTCGGGTCTCCCCAACTCCCCTTCAGCCGGACGGACAGGGGCAGCGGCGGAGAGGGGACCCGGCCCGCCACCGCAGCCAAAACCCCGTGCTCGCCTTTTCCGCAGGCCGCGAGCGCGGACGCCGCGCGGGAACCGGCTGGGGCTCCGGCCTGACCGCGCGGACACTCGCCCCCGGCGGCGCCCTCGACATCATTACCTGTCGCGGGGGCCGGGCGGACGCGCAGCCCGAGCGGCCGGAGAGGCCCGGGGCAACAATGGCGGCGGGGGCGCGGGCGCCTGCGTGGCGAGCTCAGCCCCACGCTGCAGAGGGGTCTCTGGCTCCGCCACTTCCCTAACCGGGAAAGCACGACGTGTCTCAGCCAGGAGCCGCACCTTCCAGCCGGGTCCTGAGGAGCCTGGCCCTGCACGAACCGCGCCTCAGCTCCACCGCGACCTCGCCTCAGCCCCACTGCGCATGTGCGCAAGGGGAACGCTGCGCGCCCGCTGAGCCAATCGGAAGGCGCGTCCCGGCCCTCCCTCCCGCCCGAGCCTCATTCCTTGGACCTGTCTCCATGGTAACCTCCTCCACCCATCACTGCGACTTGCTCGTTAGCCCGCAAGGTTCTAAGGGAACTTTAAAGTTTCCCTGGCCAGAAGCGGGTCTGGAAGATGACTGGGAGGTTGGGCAGCTACTAGCATCTGGGCGAGGAGGATGCGGATGGGCGGCGGTTAAAGCTCCACCCTAATTAACCAGAGAAAACCTGGTGCCATGGGGCGCCTGGGTGGCTCAGTCGTTAAGCGTTAAGCGTCTGCTTAAGCGTCTGCTTAAGCGTCTGCCTTCGGCTCAGGTCATGATCTCAGGATGCTGGGATCGAGCCCCACATCTGGCTTCTGGGAAGCCTGCTTCTCCCTCTCCCACTCCCCCTGCTTGTGTTACTTCTCTTGCTGTGTCTGTCAAATAAAAATATAAAATCTTAGAAAAAAATAGAAAAGAAAAGACAAGCTGGTGCCAGAGTTCTAGAGGAAGGAGGGGCAGGGAAGATGTGGGTCCAAAGGCAGAACACCCCAAAGTGCATTTTTAAGCCTTACCGTGCATATACATCCACTATGAAAGGTTCTGAGTCCCTCCTAGGAACTGGATTCTGACTTGGAAAAGGGGTAACATCCAACAGCATGCTGTTTAAAGAGACACAGCAAACCCACATAAAACGCTTGAAAATAAAAGGATGGGAATACATTCCAGATGTCCCTGTTATTTACTGCCGTGTTGGCAAACTACCCAAGACTTAATGGTCTTAAAAAACTACTGTATTATGCTCATGGATTTTGCAGGTCAGGAATTTGGAAGGGGAACGGTGGGCATGGCTCTTCCCAGCTCCACAGTGCCCAGGGGGCCCAGTTGAGACGATTTAATGGCAGGGAGGGTCCATTTCCAAGATGGCCTCCTCACTCGCATGTCTTAATGGGTGAGCTCAGATGGCTTAAGGATGAGCTCAGCTTGGATCTGTTCAGAGTGACCTTTTCCACGTGAAGGATTCAGGCTGGCTGGACTTCTTACATGGCATCTCTGGGCTCAAGAGCAGATATTCTAGTGAATAAGAAAGAAGCTTCATGGCTGATGACGGCATAGCTTTGGAAGTCACATAGCATCACAGAGTCACACGTGATCAAAGAAGTCATAAGTCTGTGCAGCATCAAGCAGAGGCAAAAGTAGACTCCATCACTTGATGGGAGGAGTGTCAGAGGGACTTACTACTACTACAATAGGCAAATTTGAGCAAAAAGAAGTTGGGCAGCGTGATGGTTTTTGATGTGGCACCTTGCGTGGCTACAGTCTCCTGCCATTCAGTGAAACACGAATTTAGGTGTTTTCTAGATATTATTAATGTGCACAAACTCAGGGGCTCCTGGGTGGTTCAGTGGGTTAAGCCTCTGCCTTCGGCTCAGGTCATGATCTCAGGGTCCTGGGATCGAGCCCCGCATCGGGCTCTCTGCTCAGTGGGGAGCCTGCTCCCCCCCACCCCCCCGCCTGTCTCTCTGCCTAGTTGTGATCTTTGTCTGTCAAATAAATAAATAAAATCTTAAAAAAAAAAAAAGAAAGGACAGATTATTTTATCTCACACTCTCATCTCTTAAGAGGGAAACACAATACCTACAGGACTTTCAGGCATCTAAAAGCAGACTCTCCCCACTGGGCAAGCTGTTCCAACCCATCTACTACATGGAACAGAAGGCTGTCGGCTCTGAGTAGAGCACGGGGCGGGGAAAAGGCTCAGTGGCAGCCACTGGGACCGTCTGACCTGCTAGACTTGACAGCATTGGAAGTGGCTAGTCAGGAAGCCACCATTGCAGTGAAGAGAGATCAGGCAATATGTTTACTATGATGGTGGCAAAATGCTGGTTTTCCAACTCCAGTGCTGGGGGGTCTGGTAAGGAACATATTTACTTTTCACAGTTCTGGAGGCTGGAATTCCAAGATCAAGGTACCAGATTTGGTGCCTACTAAGGAAGAACCTGCTGTTCTGTTTGTGCGTTTCCCCACAGTTACAGGGAGGCAAACAGTGATTAGGTATCCTAGAAATCGATCAAATCTCAATGGGTTGATCAAAATCGACATCCAGTGGGGGATGGACGGCTCATCTGTGCCTCCAAATATGAAACCCTGAACAGGATATGATTATCTGGTATTTCAGCTGAGAGAGAATAACTTGAATCTATGGGTGAGAAAATGATAGATTACTGCGGAATGTTCTTTTACATAATGAGGAATGTGGGGAATTCTAGCAAAATGCCAGTATCATAAACCACAGAGAAAGGCACAAAAACGTTCCAGATTAAAGGAAGGTAAAGGTGGGGCGCCTGGGTGGCTCAGTGGGTTAAAGCCTCTGCCTACTGCTCAGGTCATGATCTCAGGGTTCTGGGATCGAGCCCCGAGTCGGGCTCTCTGCTCAGCGGGGAGCCTGCTTCCCCCTCTCTCTGCCTGCCTCTCTGCCTACTTGTGATCTCTGTCAAATAAATAAATAAAATCTTAAAAAAAAAAAGGGAAGGTAAAGGTCACTTTGTAATTACTGGCATATGACTACAGACTAGATCCTGTAACTGAGAGGCAAAAAGGACTTCCAAGTCATTTGACAAATTACACAAGAGGCAGTAGAACAGATGAAACTAGTGTATGGAGACTAAAGTTGCAGAACTTAATGTGAGAGAGTATCTCAACAGTTAGGAAAATCTCTACTAAGTATTTAGGGGTTAAAGTCCAGAACATATATAACGTAACCTCAAATAATTCAAGGGACAATATTGTGAGTGTGTCTGTATCTACATCCTGAAGGAGAAATTAAATAGATACAAATAACAAAGAAAATGAAAAAAAATAGGGGCACCTGAGTGGCTCAGTCAGTTGTGTCCAACTCTTGATCTGGGCTCAGGTCTTGATCTCAGGTCCTGAGTTCAAGCCCCGCATGTCTTGAGTTCAAGCCCCGCATTGGGCTCTGCTTGGTGTGAAGCCTACATTTAAAAAAAAAGGGACAAAAATATTACAAATGAATGGATCTGGGTAAAGCTTATATTAGTATTCCTTGTACTATCCTTATTCTTGCAAACTTTACACTGCATAATATCTTGCTAATGCATTCCTAGATACTTAGGTTTTGTTTTTTTTTTTCTCATTCTCTTTTCCTAGGAAAGAATTTCAATCCTTATACCCAAAGATAAAGTTAAAAAACGAAAACAAAAATAGGAACCCAGGAACACATGAATAAAACACTGTTTGGGCAAACACTTGATCTAGAAAATTGGTCAAGGATTTTAAAAAGCATTAAAGAGGGGCGCCTGGGTGGCTCAGTGTGTTAAGCCGCTGCCTTCGGCTCAGGTCGTGATCTCAGAGTCCTGGGATCGAGCCCCACATCGGGCTCTCTGCTCGGCGGGGAGCCTGCTTCCTCCTCTCTCTCTGCCTGCCTCTCTGCCTGCTTGTGATCTCTCTCTGTCAAATAAATAAATAAAATCTTTAAAAAAAAAAAGCATTAAAGATTATTTAAATAGGGGAGCCTGGGTGGCTTCATCGGTGAAGCATCTGCCTTCAGCTCTGGTCATGATCCCAGGGGTCTGGGATGGAGCCTCGAATCCGGCTCCCTCCCTCTGCTTCCCACCTCATTTTCTCTCTTGCTATCTCTTTTTATCTCTCAAGTAAATAAAATCTTTTTTTTTTAAGGGATTATTTAAATAATGGAGAGCAAAGCTTGCATGGCATTTAATTTATTTTTTTAAGATTTCATTTATTTATTTGACAGACATTACAAGTAGGCAGAGAGGCAGGCAGAGAGAAAGAGAGAAGGAAGCGACTCCCTGCTGAGCAGAGAGCCCAATGGGGGGGCTTCATCCCAGGACCCTGGGATCATGACCTGAGCTGAAGGCAAAGGCTTAAGCCACTGAGCCACCCAGGCGCCCCTTGCATGGCATTTTAATGAGCCATTTGGTTCATCAGCACAAGACAGAAATTATAACCCAAACCTTCCCACCCTCACACAAAGGCTATGAACAGGGAAGTTTTAGGGTAGTCTTACCCGACTCACATTCCTGTGACCAACGACAGAAACGAGGCTGACGCCCCAAAATCAAAGGCACAGGAAAGACCTTATCGGGGATAAACTCAAAACTAGGCCCTGCGCAAACCTAGGGATCTGCTTATATGTAGAAAGTTCCCGTTTAGGTTCCCGCGAGGGGTCCAATATGCTAATAAGGGAAAGGGGGAAAAAATGCCTCATCCTGATTGGCTGGAAGGGCCTCGTTCTGATTGGTCAGAAGGGTCTCGCCCTGATTGGGTGAGATTGCCAGGCCGCTCAGGGAGCAGCTCATTGGTGGATTTTGGAGCCGGGTCCTGCTTTTTAGGGTTGGCTTGTGGTGGGGGCTTGCCCGCAAGCTTCTTCTGTTCTGCAAGTTGCTTCTTAGCTAGAGCAGCTCTCGGGGAGCGCTTCGGGTCCCTGATGTTTGCCGATTAGGGCGTGTTCCCCTGAATCTAAACTGTCTCATAGGACAGCAGTGTTTGCCCAATAGGAAGTCTAAAACCCCTCTGCTCTGTAGTGTTTGTCTTCCGGGATTATGTGCACGCACGTCAGCAGAGACTTCCTAGGATGTGATTGCATTGAGGTCCGGTAGGAATGGGACGCAGCCTTAGCCCATCTCCCAGGAGCCCCAGGGCCCAAGGCCACCTCCCAGAGGGGAAGCGAGAGACCAGGGAGGTGAGGCTACATGGACACCAACCGTCTCCCCTCTGCGGAGGTGTGAGGTCTGCACAGTAAGGAAATTGATTCAGTCCATGCATTTTCTTCCATGCTGTAGGCTGAGGGCATTGTCCCATTTACAGATGAGGAAAGGGACACTCAGAGAGATAAGGTGACTTAACCAAGGCCTCCAGTAGGTTAGGGGCAGAGCCCAGCCTTGAACCCTGCAGTACTATCTCCGACCATAGCCCTGTTCTGTTTTTGCTTACTTCCACTATACAAACGGGGTGGGCTTGAAATCTTCACACCTGGTTATCATGTCTTCAGTTGGAAGGGAAGGTAAATTACTTGCACTGATTAAAAGAAGGGTCAGAGAGCACCTCGGTGGTTCAGTTGGTTAAGCAGCTGCCTTCAGCTCAGGTCATAATCCTAGAGCCCTGGACTCAAGTCCCGCATCAGGATCCCTGCTCAGTGGGGAGGATGCTTCACTCTCTGCCCCTCCCCCTCTCATGCTCGCTCTAACTCTTTCTCTCTCTTCAAATAAATAAAGTCTTTTTTATTTTTAAATAAAGATTTTTCTTTATTTATTTGACAGAGATCACAAGTAGGCAGAGAGGCAGGCAGAGGGCGGGGGGGGGGGCGAGAAGCAGACTCCCCGCTGTGCAGAGAGCCCCATGCGGGGCTCCATCCGAGGACCCTGAGATCATGACGCCAGCCGAAGGCAGAGGCTCAACCCACTGAGCCACCCAGGCGCCCAAATAAATAAAGTCTTTTTTAAAAAATAAACAAAAGAAGGGTCAGAGGAGTTGCCAAAATACTTAGCAAATTTTTTTTTTTTTAAGATTTTATTTATTTATTTGACAGACAGAGATCACAAGCAGACAGAGAGGCAGGCAGAGAGAGAGAGGGAAGCAGGCTCCCCGATGAGCAGAGAACCCGATGCGGGACTCGATCCCAGGACCCTGAGATCATGACCCGAGCCGAAGGCAGCGGCTTAACCCACTGAGCCACCCAGGCGCCCCACTTAGCAAATTTTTAAAAACCCATGGGGCTCCGGAAAATTCCCAACTGTAATGATAGAAAGTGGAAACATTCCAACCCTAAAAGTGGGTGAACCAGTGAGGCTTCTCCAGCCCTGCTCCTCTCCTAGGACTCCAAGGCTTGGCCTCCTGCCCTCCACTGCAGGAGAGATCCCTTTTTTATAGCTTCAGTTTCTCTGCCCCGTCAATGGAAACTGAGAAACAAAACTGTGTTTTAATATACTGGGTTATCAGCATCAACCTGGGCACAGTGTGGAGACTTTAACTGGGCTTGATTAGGTGGTAGCATCTGTGCCTCTGCCAAATCCTCACTAATGTTTTGTTTTTTTTTTTTCCTATTCTAACATCAATGCTGCAATGTGGGTGGAATGACCCCCATTTTACACAGGAGGCCCAGAGAGGTTGAGAACTTTCCCATGGCCACACAGCAGCAGTGGCAAGGCCAGCATCCATGCTGGGGTGTTGGACCCATCATCCCTCTCCAGTTGGGTACAGCCATGGGGAGGGGGGGGTATATGTTCCTGGATAATCAAGATCCAGGGCCTAACAGACTCAGCCTGAAACAGGAAAGGGAAAGAATTAAGATATCCTTAGTGCTCACAGCCCCTGTCTGTGCAGTGACCCCAGCAGTCATGGTATTGAAATTTGTTTTTCTAGGAAAGACTGCATTATGCTGTTTTACAAACACTGAGTTCTAAAGTCAGCTCAAATAACAACACTCCGTTTACAGAAAATCCCTCCAAGTGCCCACAAATGTGGGAAAGGAAGTGCCTGTGGGAAGTTCAGGCCCCCTGGGGTGGTGCTCAGCAAGTTCCCCCACTATTTAGGGGAGGGCACCCAGGGGTCTGATATTATTAAATATTAAGTTAAAAAACTATAAATTTTTCTCTTTCTTCATCTTGTTTTTTTGTTTGAGAACAATTATTTGACTTATCCTTTATATAAGCATCTTTGTAGTCCGTTTCTGTCCCCGTGTCTCCCCTCTTTCCCAAGCGACCACTCATCTTCCATCACTCTGGATTAATTTTCATTTACTAAGAATTTTAAAAGTAGCCCTATATCGCTTCTTGGCCTTTTTGTTAAGATCAAGTGTAAAAAAGTAGCTATAACTGTACAGTATGTACTATTTTCTGTTCCTCCTCTTTCATGCAACATAACATTTTGAGATGTATCTGTTTGTTCCGATGTCAGTGATTTGGCCTTGATGGCATTGGATGCTACCGTTTGTTCACGCGTTCATTTCCCGACGCACGTCTGAGTTGCTCCCAGGTGTTGTGTGTTTGAAATACAATTGCTATGGACATGCCCGGAAAAGTCACTGCGTGGGCATACACTTTCATTTCTCTTGGTTAATACCTAGGTCTGGAATGCCAGATCATAGACGGAGTGTATGTTCAACTCTTTAAGACGCTGTCAAACCGTTTCTCGAAGGGGTTGTATTATTTTGCATTCTCACTCACCAACAGCGTGGGAGATATCCAGCTCCCCCTGGCAAGGGTTCTTAATTCCTGGTTTGTCTTTTCAGCATTTTCTTCTTCTTCTTCTTTATTTATTTATTTTGCAAAATCACAACGAGTAAAGGCTGTTTGCATTAGTAAAACTAATTAAATGTGGTGATAATTTAAATTTTAAAAAATTATGTATTTGAGAGAGAGAGAGAGAGAGAGAGAGACAGAGAGAGCACAGGCAGGGGCAGCAGCATGGGGAGAGGGAGAAGCAGGCTCCCTGGGAGCCCGACGTGGGGCTCCATCCCAGGACCCTAGGGTCATGACTTGAGCTGAAGGCAGACACATAACCAACTGAGCCACCCAGGTGCCCCTAAATTTGGTGAAAATTTTAAAAGTGAAATCAAGGGGCTCCTGGCTGGCTCAGTCCATAGAGCAAGTGACTCTTGATCTGTGGGTTGTGAGTTCGAGTGCCACATAGAGCTTACTTCCAAAAAAATTGAAATAAAAAGTAGAAATCACCAATAGTCATGCCATTCTAATTATTTTAATATATTTTCCTTTAGAATTTTTCAGGTGAATGCACAAGCAAAGACACCTTACTGAGGAGGTAAATAAGCATAACTACCTAAATAAGCAATTACCTTACTGCTAGACATTTGTGTTGTTTCTATTTGTGTTCTTTTATGTCACACTCAGTTGTAAAAAAAAAAAAAATCCTGTGCATCTTTTTTTTTCCTTTAAAGATTTTACTTATTTATTTGACAGAGAGAGAGAGAGAGAGAGAGATCACAAGTAGGCAAAGAGGCAGGCAGAGAGAAAGGAGGAAGCAGGCTCCCTGCTGAGCAGAGAGCCCGATGCGGGGCTCGATCTCAGGATCCTGAGATCATGACCTGAGCTGAAGGCAGAGGCTTAATCCACTGAGCCACCCAGGCATCCCCATCCTGTGCATCTTTTACCCAGTTCTCCCAATGGTAACATCCTCCAAAACTATAATTCAATATGGCAGCGGGGAGACCGACATTGATACAATCAGGATGTAGAACATTAACATGCTACAAGGAACCCACAGGTGTCCTTTCATTGCCATACCCACTTCCCTCCTGCCACCACTCCCCCCTTTACTGCTGCCCACCCCTAATTTGTTCTCCCATTGCTATGTCTCTATCATTTCATAAATTCTACATAAACATCAGTATGGATGTCTAATCACCTACAAATGGACGTTTACATTGTTCCCAGTTCTTGGGAATTACAAATAAAACCGATATAAAAAACCGAGTATACGTGTTTCCTTTTTTTGGGGTGAACATTAATGTCTTATTTTCTCTGAACAACTTCCCAGAAGTATAACTACTGCATTAAATGATAGTTGCATGTTTCATTTTCAAGAAATTGCCAAGCTGTTTCCCATGGTGGCTGCGCCATATTACATTCCCGCAAGCAACGTGTGAGTGATCCAGTTTCTTTGCCTCCTTGCCAGCTTTGTGGGTGGTAACTTCGTAATTTTAGCCATTCTGACAGATGTGCAGTGATACCTCATTGTCTTTTAAATTTTTCTCAAATGGCTAATGCTGTTGAACATCTTTTTATTTGATTATGGATTCTATATATTCAAGAAAGCTCTCGAATCAACATCTTCTTAATTTTTTAAAAAAGATTTTATTTATTTATTTGACAGAGAGATCACAAGTAGGCAGAGAGGCAGGCAGATAGAGAAAGGGGGAAGCACGCTCCCTGCTGAGCAGAGAGCACGATGCAGGGCTCGATCCCAGTACCCTGGGATCATGACCGAAACCGAAGGCCTTTGCTTAACCTACTGAGCCACCCAGGTGCCCTCAAGTAAATGTGTTAATTTACATGTTAAGGAATTAGAAAAATAACAAACCCAAAGTTAGAAGAAAAAAGGAAATAATAAAGATTAAAGGGGAGATCAGTGAAATGGAGAGTAGGAAAACAGTAGATAAAATCTGCAAAATCAAACGTTTGAGATCAACAAAATGGACAAATTCTACCTTGACAGACCAAAGAAAAAAAAGGGAAGACACAAAGGAGTAAAATCTGAATTGAAAGTGGAAACACTGCTGCCTGCTTTACAAAAAGAAAAGGGATTATAAGAGAATAGTGCGAGCAAAGCACACCTGCAAATGTAATTCAGGGGAAATGCAAAATTCAGTTCCAGTGATTCAGCAGACGGCCAGCAGGGGGCACACGCCAACGCTGCAAAACTCCGTGCACTGCGCCTAATGACCACAAGAAGGCGCGCGAACTTGCCTTTTCTGATCCACGTAGCGTCTGCATGTTTTGTCTGGGACGGAGCTTGAACCCCCGGTGGCGGGGAGGAAAGCGTTGGGTGTCCCCAGCCCCCGCGGCCCAGCAGGGGGCTTTGTCCGCAGCGTCTCCAGGCACCTTTCTCTTAAATAGCGAATGCAGGAGCTTTTATTGTCTGGAGTGTCCCCATGTGTCCTATAATTTACTTCCCACATAATTTTAAGTTCAGCATATACCAAAAGAGAGTGGATTATGAATGGGCCCTCCTGGCTTTAATGGAAGCACACTCATCAATTCATAACTTTCAAAACTGGCTTCTTACCTGATCTTGTTCTCACCTGAGATGATGGACATGTTTGACGATGGCTCATGACCCGGTGGCCGTCTTATATGCTTGGTCAGTTCATTTCGGCTTTCTCTGGCCCCATGACGACAGGTGGTGGGTAGAAATTACATTATTAAGTGCGCTTCCTAATGGGAAGAAGAAGTTGTCAACACTTGTCAACTGGTGTTTGGAGATTGAAACATTACCTTTTATTTTTTAATTTTTATTTTATTTTTTATTTTTGGAAAATATTTTATTTATTTGACACAGAGAGAGATCACAAGTAGGCAGAGAGGCAGGCAGAGAGAGAGAGGAGGAAGCAGGCTCCCCGCTGAGCAGAGAGCCTGATGCGGGGCTCGATCCCAGGACCCCAAGATCATGAGCCAAAGGCAGAGGCTTTAACCCACTGAGCCACCTGGAAACATTATCTTTTAGATTTCAATATCGACCGTGGCATTGTTTGAGGACTTGACATTTACACCAGGGGGCAAGCTTATGGGTATAGGGTGTAGAGAGAACACCAGGGCAGCCTTCTATCTGTGTAGCTGGAGAGGTTGCTCAAGGATTAATTTACTGGACATCTTGTGCAGCTATTATGTGAGATTGGAACCAAGAGGAAAAGTCACTTTTATTTGCTGAGAAAGTTTGAGGGTTTCGGTTTGAGATACATTTCCTTTTAACTTCCTGTAGCGCATGCAAGTCGAGATAATACTGCAGGAATGAAATAGGGATGCGAGTTTGTAGACACAGGAGCACAGGGCTGGGGCAATGTTTGAAGGGTTCGACTGGTCATGTTGAAGGAGATCTTGCAGAAGACACTGGCAAGAAGTGTTTAGGGTAGCCTGGAGACAGGAACTGGAGATGTCCGAGGACCCCAGGAAATAGAATGATCTCAAAAGGAGATCAGGATGTGGTGCCTGGGGGGCTCGGTCTGTTAAGCATTCGCTCTCCGCTTAGGCTCAGGTCTTGATCCCAGGGTCCTCAGATCGAGCCCCGCCTCAGGCTCCCTGTTGGAGGAGAGCCTGTTTCTCCCTCTCCCTCTGCTTCTCCCCCTGCTTGTTCTCTCTCACCCTCTCTCTGTCATTTATAAGTAAATGAAACCTTAAAAAAATAAGGAGGAGAAGTGGGGGGCTCCTTCGTGAGCAGTGGATTCAATACCCTGGGAGTTCCCACGTAGTCGGAGAACCCGTGATTGTGGGAATAAGCTGGAAGGAGTTATGGAAAGAGGGCGGGATCTCAGATGATGGACCAGAGAAGTGAAAACCCAGCATAACCTGGGTCAGTTGTACACCGTGAAGACGCATGTGTTTAGGAATTTGAGCTCCAGAAAAAGGCAGAGAGGTCCTAATTCTAGCCATCTCATAATTTAGCCATGTAGTTCTGTTACTAAACCTCTATGAACTGTGTCCACCTCATTTGGAAATGGGCAGCTAATCTCCAAGTAGCCTCACTTTGAGAATTAAATAAGCAAATGCGTATAAAATCTTCATGAACATAGTCTCTATCAATATAATTGTTAGGGCTTTTTCCCCCTCCTCTTTGGTGCCCCTCAGCTTCAAAGGGCTGGCTTAATTCGGCTTCTTACTGTGGTACACGGTCATCAGTTCACCCGTGTGGTTTCTGTAAGCCTTTTTTTTTTTTTTTTAAGATTTTATTTATTTATTTTTGAGAGATTGAGAGAGAGAGCATGAGCAGGGGGGAGGGGCAAAGGGAGAGGGAGAAGCAGACTCCCCAGGGAGCAGGGAGTCAAACTCAGGCTTCTCCCAAGACCCTGAGATCATGACCTGAGCCCAAGGCAGATGCTTAACCGTTTACAAAGACTTCACATATACAAACGATGAAATGCAGGGTGTTCCTGCCGATGGGGCAGGATTTCACCTGTTACTTCACTAAGGTATCAGGATGTGCCAACTTAATGCCCCCCCAAACCCCCTCTGCACCCCGTGTTTTATGAACTTGCTGCCCTTTGGGAACTGTGGGAACACCATAGTGGCACTATGATCTGGGTCCGCCGGCTGACTTCCTGTGCTAGGGATCCTAGACCTGGGCTTGCACCATGGGAGTCCCTAAATCCCGAGACTC